ACCTCCCCAGTTTCCCAGGGTTTTTGTTAGCCACATTGGACAGATTGCTTGCTCTAGGCTACCCAGGGTGGTCTTGGGAATAGGCTTAACAGCTCTTCCTTATGATTGAACATGTCTCCTCAACACTTCTCCAAGTCTTCCCAGTGTATGTGTGTAAGGGCCTTGCAGCCACAGCCTCCAAGAATGGTTGCCTTGTGTTGAGAATCTAGGTGACTAGAGAGAATGGGTATAAAGACCAGCTTTGTCTTCTAACAGCATGTTCTGGGCCCTCCTTGATCTCTGTTTTAGCCAGAAGCACCGATTCATTGTGCAGTTTTATTATTATTATTTTATAAAGCATGACAGGTGGTATTTTTGCTGGTTGTTTCACTAATATGGGTTTCTTTTTTTTCTGCTGTCCTGAAATCATTTCCTTTCAGCCCTCTGCCCAACATCTAGTCCCGAAACCAAGGGCACCTTTGGCACTGCAGCACCCATTCACTGATTTTTTGACTTAATGACCAACCATGACAGGTGGTATTTTTGCTGGTTGTTTCACTAATATGGGTTTCTCTTTTTCTGCTGTCCTGAAATCATTTCCTTTCTGCCCTCTGCCCAACATCTAGTCCCGAAACCAAGGGCACCTGTTGTAGACCTTTGGCACTGCAGCACCCATTCACTGATTTTTTGACTTAATGACCAATCACAGACAAGCAAACTATAACACCCAGTGGCTTAAAACAGCAAGTGTTTAGGTGACTGGCTTGTTTAATCGTTGCTGTTTTTATCCAGGTTTATTGTGTAGCTGCATTCAGCTGCAAGGTCTGCTAGGGGTTTGAGTTCAGCTCAGACAGATGGGCTCTACTTTCCAGTAGGAATAAAGACCTGGTGTGTGAGCGCTTATAAAGACTCTACCATTGGCAGTTCTGGTCCCATTGGCCCGCATGTGTCATATGTCAAAACCTAGCGTCAAATGCGGGGCAGAGCGCAGGCCGGGGTGGAGAGTCTTCTGGTCTCTCTCTTCCGGTGCATTACACATTACTCACAACATCGGAGCAGTTTATAGCATAAGCGACTCCTCAGAAACCTCCCCAAAGCCCCAGACACAGATCCCCGAATTTACAGGCCGCTGGTGGAGAGTCTTCTGGTCTCTCTCTTCCGGTGCATTACACATCACTCACAACATCGGAGCAGTTTATAGCATAGGCGACTCCTCAGAAA